TATATGTATGTATGTATATTATTGTATACGTGTGCTTGTGTATGTCTTCTACCCTTTTGCATTAAACATTAATGTTTTTGCAACCAAAGTAATTGTTTTAATGTGCAGCAAATAAATTATTCATACCACATTAATCAAAAATTTATATTTCTCTCAATTTCATGAGCGACCTCAACTGAATTTAATTTAAAATTAGTTAATTTAAGGGGTGTGCGGGAGAGGGGGAGCCGGAGATGGCAAACGAGATACAAAGATTGACGAGCTGCAGGCTAACAACCACATTATTCCAAAAAAGTTAAATGAAGTATAAAAACTAAATGAGAAAGGGAGAGACACAGAAATCAAGAGTGAACGCATAAGTGAGAGTGCGAGTGGGAGTGAGAGAGACAGTGAGAGAGATGGGGTGTGAGGGATTGGAATGCCATAATTTATTTCTGATAAAAGAAAGAAAAGGGATAGGGAAACAGCCGCAACAATTGGGATGTTTTTAATAAACAATTATGAGAAAAACAAGAAAAGATGAGAGGGCAAGAAAAAGAGAGAGATATATATAAGGAAAGAAAGACAGAGATATATATATATTTACATAGAAAGATAGAGAGCGATATGTATACAGAAACAAAGAGAGCGAGAGAGATAAAGATAGGCAGAGCTTGAGAAGATTTAGAGGACAAAAGAGGGATTAAGGCGGAATTGGCAAGCGAATCCTAGAAAGGGAATAAATTAAAATATAAGAAAGTCACTAATGTGTTTTATGGAAGGCAAAAATCATAATAAAGCGGCACTGTGTGACATTTTAGAAAAATAAAGGAAAAACAGCTTGAAAATAGAAAATTCCAAGAAGTGAAAATTACAGAAAATGTATAAACGTTGGAGATAACAAGAATGTAGTTATTGAAGCGCAGATATGAGTGCGCCTTAGAGATAGAGGGGGAGGGATGAAATTGGGAGATGTTTGGAGGGGAGAGAAGGAAGAGTATAGAAAGATCTAAGTAGAGAAAAAGGAGAAGTGAAAGTGATAGAGTAAGTGATAGATGGAAATAGAGAAAGAGAGGGCATGAGAAAGAGAGAGAGAGAGAGAGAGAGAGAGAGAGATGGGGAGATGCAACGATAGACAAGAGCGGTGAAGAGAGATGGAAAAAGCGAATTATAAAGAGAGTGAGAAAGAGGGAGAAAGTAAAGAGTGAGAGAAAAATAGAGAGAGCTGGAGAAAGATATATGTAGGTAGTTAAGGGAGAGAGGTTCTTCACCTCTATCTTCATCTTATTATATTCTATATATATATATGTAAAACTACGGAGAAATAGAGATAAATACAGGGAGGCTGAAAACAAAACAAGGATGCCCCGCACATAATTTGATTTTGTTGATTTGTTCTTCCTTTGTTCTATGCTCTACGTTTACTTCTTCAAGTACATTTGGTAAGTATCTAATAATGATCACGAAATGCAGATAGGAGCCAACGAGCTCCCATCGCTCGACTCGCAATGGCCCGTTGACTGAGTTGAGTACGCAGATGGAAATATGCAAAGAACTCTTGTTCCATTGCAGCTGCAGAGCACTTTCACATGATAAAAAAAAAAAAAAAAACACACACACACACACAAAAAAAGGAGAATTGCAAACAGTTTTTGCGTGGCAAATGGAGCTGGCATAATAAGAGTAAAGTATATTAAATGCATCCGGCAAATAAGCTTTGCGAATTTCCCAGGATTATAATATCAGAGTAGGTAATATGTAAAACTTTTCACTCACCCGGTTAAATTGTTTGCTTAATTTATATTCCAGATATGAACAAAAAGAACGGAACTCGCGCTCACTTGCGACTCGTGGCTAAAAATTGTTATTAAAACATTTCTGTTGGTGCATTCTATTATTCTTTTGATTTTTATACTTCACATCACATTTGGCACTTGTTTGCATTTCACACATATATATATATATATATATCTAGGGACTATATATATATATGGCAGAAAAAAAATTTTAAAAAAAGTCAACAAAACATTTTAGATTTTACGCACGTAACTTTAATAATTTTGGTTATATAATTTGTATTTTTTTATTTATTTAATTTGATTTCTTTTAGTAGAATCTAAGTCAATTATTTTTGATTGTATTTTTGTTCCTTTTTTTTGAATCGCGCATTCCGTTAGACGAGCAGCGAAAGGCGACAATAAAAGACGACAATTGAATTGGATGTTCCGCCAGTGCGGGGCCAGCACGTTGGCATCGCTTATCCTTGAAAACCGTAATGAACTGTCGTTCGCAAAATTACGGACACATGGCGAAGCATCCAAATGAACAGCTCGGCTGGCTCTGAGTGCAAGCTCAGCGCCGTCCTGCACACACTCAAAACTCTCCAGCCAATGCCACTCGATGCAATCCACTCAATTCTCTCGCTGTTCACCACGATGCCAGCACCACTGCAAAGCTGTCCCAAAAGCTTGGCCCGAGCTTTCTGCAGATTGCGGGGCTAAATTGAGCAGATACTCAATCCCAATTACTCAATCAACGTCCTCTCCCCTACTCGGAGTCTAAGTGCCAACGATTTGCACTCAAAGTTCGTTTTTGTGAGGGGAAAGTGGGCAATTCTGGGTTGTTTCTTTCACATACAACTCACTCAGTAGGTCATGCTTTGGAGAAAACCAATTTAAAATAAACATAGTAGACGCCTTTCATATATAGACGAGACTTCGAGTCTATATGATCAAGGAATACAGAAAACACAACTAAAGAAGGCTAACAAAATATATAAAAAATCTCTCTATATATTCCATTCTATATATTCTATATATTCCATTCCAACAAGTCGGTTGCAATGAACAAGCGTACCAAGGAAGTGGATGATGCGCTGAGGAAGAAGCTGGCCAAGCTGCGTTTCAAGCGTGTGGTGCGTGTCGCCTATGCCAATCATCAGTGGGTGAATGAGACGGACGATCAAGGCATCACCCTGAATGTGAAGAAGAATGTGGCGATGCTGGTGCGCAAGAAGCACAAGACGGGCATATTGACAATGGCGGTAAGCAGGCGACATACTCTATATACTCTGCATACACTATGATTATTTATATTTTATATAGATCATATACTGCTTCACATAAACTGCTTATCCTATGCTTTATATATACTCCATATACTCTCCCTCTCTCAAAATATATATATATATATATATGTATTTATACCCCACATACATATACTCTATATATTCTCTATACACCTTATGCAGCATATACCCAATACGATCTATACGCTTTATATACTCTACAAACTTTATGTATTCTATATATTCTATATACCCTATGTACTTTATTTGCCCTATAAATTCTATCTACGCTACATATACTCTAGATTACATAGAGAGTACATACCCCACACACACTCTAAATACTCCATGTGCTATAGATTCCACATATACTCCATACAGGCCTCTATATAAACCTCTATACCATCTTTACTCCCTTCGTATTGCAGCAAAAAGGTCTCTTGGCCACTTTGCACTCCACTCGCTCTATAGCAGAGCGCAAGAAACTTTGCACAATCGTCGCTAGCCTAGGCTGTTTCACCCAAGTGCCACCGGTAAGACATCTCTGTCCATCTATATCACTATATTCACCTATATGAATCTTGCCGAAATCTTTCGCAGAAAATTCGAGCACGTCTGGTGCCCTATCTTCACTTTATGGTCGTTAGTGCGGGTCGCACCTTAATGAAAGAGGGCGATATGCCCACCTGTGTTTATTTTGTTGTGAGCGGCGAGGTCGAGATGTCAAGAAAATTAATGAATAAGGTAATGTTATGTTTATGCTCATTCATATATATTTATATATATACATATTTCACTATCCAACAATTCATTTGGCAGATATCACGCAAGGTGGAATCGAAGCCTGAGGCATTTTTCGGGCCAGGCGATTGGATTGGCGAGGTTGAGCTGCTTGAGGAGAATTCACGAATGAATACATATAAGGCTACAAGTAAATCATTTGAAAAACAACCGAATGCTAGTGAATTGTTGCCTTTAATCAGTTAAATTCTTCAGCTAATTGCGAAATTCTGGCGTTGGACGATTTCGATTTCAGGGCTATGCTCATGCCATATGTGAAAAAAGTTTGGATTGAGAAGAAGAGGGCGATTGCCTCGCTAAGCTATCTGAGATACATGAATGATTCACAGGTAAGACTTCTTGATGTCTGTGTATGGAATACATAGACACTCGTTAAATACAAATAGTATTTTGATGCGGTTTTCCTAAGGACGACATATGATATAGTATAGATATGGGCATAAGCTGAAGTTTCTACTGAGATTTTTATATAATGAGAAATCTAATGAAAAGCTTAATTTGTCTATTCTCTTTGCACTCATTTCGATTTCCGTTCCGTTTTCAGATTGTGAGCGCCTGTAAGTTTGGCATCCTAAGACAATACGATCCATTAAGCACAATCTATCCGGATAGTTCGGATAATATACAACATGTGTATTTCGTGCTAAGCGGCGAATGCGTTCTACTGCAATGCTTGTATATGAGGGTAAGTTTCATCTCTCTCTCTCTCTCTCTCTCTCCACTTCTCTCTATATGTCCTTATATCCTGATAGGTTAGATTTGAAAAAGGCGAATTACATTATGACTTGTCGCCCGTGGCCGAGGACGCTTCCGAAAATGAAGTAGAGGACGACAAGACAGAGCCGTTCGATGTGCGGGAGCTGCTGCGCTCGAGCTCTTCACTGGATGAAGCCGGCAAAAACAAAAAGAAGGCGGTATGACTGGCTGCAGCGCTCGTTGGCTAACTGTGTGGGATATATATGTACATCAATTTGTTGTCTTTATGTTTCTTCCCTGCAGAAGCGCAAGGCGGAGTTTGCCAAGATCGAGGCGAACTGCAAGCTGTTGAACGAGAAGCCAACGGCTGTCGAGGAGCGCCCGATGATGCGCCAATTCCGCCATTCGCATCATCACAAGTCGATAATGGATCATCTGTGGGATGACGATTTTGATTTTTCGGTTTGCGAGGACGAAGAGGATTTGTGTTCGACGGACAGCGACTACTCGTTGAAACGGGACTCGAATGTGGCAGACGGCATGCGTCGATCGAGTCGCCTGAGCAAGTCGAGCAAACAAAGCAGGCAAAGCAGGCAAAGCAAGCAAAGCAGGAATAGCAAAGACATGTCCGAAGAATCGGTGGAAGAGGAGGAGTTGGCGATAATCACAGCCTCACCGTCGCGCACCAGCACGCCGACAAGCTCATCGTATCAATCGAAGTGGGATAAAGTAAATATTGCACATGTTTAATGTATATTCCTCATGCCTCACTCTTCTTGGCCGCCCGTTTAGGGCGAAGGTAATTATGTCACCCATTTCGTGGACGTCGGCTCAATGACATTTGGCGGACTTTTTGGGGTGGGCGAGAAAGGCGATCATCGCGTTGTCATGGCCCGCACCACTGTCCAATGCCTGCTCATACCACGCTACTGGCTGATGGAGGAGGACCAAAACCCGGGACACATGTGGCAGCGCATGCGCTTCTATCTAGATCGCTGGATACCGTCGAGGAAGACACTGTACGAGGACTTCATCAAGACACGCAAATGGGCCCAGTTCAAGGCCGACTGTGTCGAGGAGTTCACCAACTCGATCACCAGTGACACTAAGGTGGAAGATATACCCATCGTAATTCGCATAGTTGAATTAAAGGAGCCTAAGACCGGATCGACCACTCGCTAGAGTCTTTTTCCCACAGTAACAAATTTTTACTTTGATCCATACTTTTCATTCGAACGTGTGGACTTAAACCCATTTCTAGACTACAATCAAAAAATCAACAATGATCCCAATCGAGCTCAATTGATGAAACGAGATAGAGTCTCATTAATACAAATATAAGGCTTTTTTTTATTTTTACACTATATCTGGATAACTGGACGCTATCGAGGAGGATTTCATTAAGATACATAAATGGGAGACTGTCTCCAGGAATTCACTATTCGACCGATCACTAAATTTTTGTTTTTCATAGCAACAAATTAAAATATTGGTTCACGCTATTCAATCCAAAGTGTGGACACAAACCGATTTTTGGGCAACAAACAAATAATCGAAAAAACATCCCAATTGAGCTCAATTGATGAAAGGAAATCAACAAATATCAGGTTTTACTACTTTTATACAAAATTCAATTAGCTGGAGGTACAATTTACGATATATAAACCAAGCGGCATTTACAAAATTCCCATTTAAAATTTTTTGTGAAATGACAAAAACCAATTGAGTCAACGCGAATATCTCAAGGTATCCATTCATTGTACATAATAAACGCATTTACGATATAAATATACCACTATACGACATTATTTTATTTTTGAATCCAAGACAATACTCATATATAAATTTTTTCAGCTGGTAGCGGATAATATTAGTACATTTACCGAGTACACACATGGTTGAGTATTTTTAGTCGAGTTATAAAGATACTTTACTTGAGGCTTTTTTTTTATGGTGTAAGTTTCTAAAAGGCAAATCAACGGATACTTGATAACGTTGCTCTCATACTTGTCGTAGGGAATTATTGGGGGGGGGGGGGGGATTTTAGCCTAGCCATCAACCAAATTGAGCAAAGGGTTTTGTTTATAGTACAAGCTTTATAAAGGGATATACACGGATAAAGTTGCGCTTATACTACATTGCAAGTCATAAGAAATTTGGTATATTTTAGCAAGATCATAAACCAACTGGGCTTTTGTTTTATAGTAAATATTTCATAAAGGGAAGTCAATAGATACTTCAGACCGTTGGGCTTTTACGGCACAAGCCATAGGATATTTTTATATTTTATAGCTAAGTCACAAACCAGCCTGGGCTGGGATTTTAGTTTATAGTGAATAAAAGGGAAATTGAAATACGCATGACAGAGAACAATTATGTATTTCTCACTGCTTTCGAGCATAGGTTTTAGAATTGAAAAGCTTGCCCATAGTATAGTAACATAAAAGCCTTTTTCAAATCCCGGCTAAGTGAACGGATAATATGGGATTATCCCAGTAAAAAAAGCTTGGAATTTCATTAATTGAAATTTCACACTAATGGCTAACCCCTACTTGGGACAATAAAGGTATATAATCTTAGTGGAGGAGAAATTGAGTTGGATTTAAAGGGAAATGAAAATTAGCCGGCCCACGTATTATAGCTATATTCCTCATTCTCCGCACAGAGATTGGTGTAGTTGGGATTACGTCCCCTGATACACTCGGAGGCCGGTGGTCCAGCCCGATAGATCGGATTGTTTTGTACATTTGTGACCGCATAGTTGCAGGCGAGGAGCGTGTTGTCCAGCCCATTGGCGTCCGTGAACCGGGCGACGGCACAGCCCACGCGATTGTTGCGCTCATTCACCATGGTCGTAAAGTGGCCGATGGCACTGCGGATGATAGAGATACCAACTGAATTAACTAACCAAAGCTAAGCAACGAGATTCGTTGGGCATACGCACGGTCCGTCACGCGGCACATAAACCTCCACATCGGCACTGGTCGCATATTGATACTCGTCGAACCAGGCGGCGATGCGCTCCCGCAGAAATGTGGCCGTGTCAATGTTGCGCGTGTAGAGAATGCTCAGATTCTGGCCGGAGTAGCGATAGGTGTTCGTGTTGCGGCACTCGTCGTGCGCCATGCGGCACTGCAGCGTGTTGTAGGCGGCCACCTGGGCGAGCGTCGAGTCCCACGACATCGTCGCCATATGCAGGGCACTCGGAAAGCCACTCAGTCCGCCGCCTGCGATCAGATTGCGTCGATCGTTGTGCTCCTTCAGGATGAGCGGAATGTGAGCATCGAGCGAGACAAACTCGCCCTGACAGCCGCTCGCGAATTGCTGAGAAGCACAGATCGTTCAGTTTAATGCCCCCATTCCATTCCATTCCATTTCCCATTTCTCTGATGTGGCACTACTTACACCACTATTCCCGCAGACAACATGCTGCACTCCCTCCGGGCAGAGTGCGGGATTGCAGTAGTTCTGGGCGCAGCTCAAGCGAACGCCCAGCCAGAGCAACTGCAGCAAGGTCACAAAACTACAGCAGCGCGCCATCGGCAGTCGAGCGAGTCGCAAGCGTAGCCCCCAGCGGCGCAGCAACTATTTATAGGCAATGGCAGTGCTTGGACAATGCCTCCATATCGTCTCACTGGCACATCTGTTGTTCGCGCTGCCTGCCATAAAAATCACAGGCCATATCACATAAAACAAAGGGGAAAGGGAAAGGGAAAGTGAAAGGGAGAGGGAGAGGGAGAAGGAGAGGGGAACGACTTGAAAAGAAAACAGCTAGATGCACTGCTGATTGTTCGGCTCACTGAAGGTTCTGTTCCCATACGCTCGTATACGTAATAAATTCGATAACAGCTGTTGCGCTGCCCCTCCCCTTGGCCACCTTGCCGCTCAGCCCAGTTGTTCTTTTCAGTTAATTTAGGTCGCTGTCTGACTAGCTGACTGGCATCAAAAGATTGGCGTCTTATGACTCAACGGAACTGCCGCAGCTTGGCTTACGCTTTGCCAATCAACAGCTTTGCTCTTGTTCTTCAGCTTCAATTGGAGAGGAAATCATTTGAAAATCGATATAAAGCTGAGCTCTAATTGGATTCTTATATGAATTTATTTAATTCTGTTAACGGCAATTGTAGTTGCTCTAAACTATCCTAGACTGATCTATTTTTAGGCATATACATATGTATGTAACCCTTGTATGTATATCAACTATAAATTAATGAAAAATGTGTGCATATGTATGTGTGTGTGTATATCTATCTATTCAAGTGCGAATGCACGTATCTATGCATATGTATGTAAATATTTACGTTTATATTTAGAAGTAATGTTCTGTCTTTATGTGTATGTGTATATTCTTATTCATTCATATATGTCTATATACATGTACATATATGTATATGTACTTATATACAACTTTATTGTTTTTATATGTATGTGTGTATGTATTGTGAGTAACTATGCATGAATGCATACGCATAGTCATACAAATAAATATACATACATTAATGTATGTACGTGATCAGTCTTCAGGTTTTCAATAACAATCAAATGATGTTTTCTGAAGCACTGCCTTTCCATGCGATTCTCAGGAATTGAAGTACTCCCCAGTGGCCATCATGCTTTGATGTTTCAGTTGTTCTGCCAATCTAAACTAATTTATTTTTAACACTCCATTAAACTCACTCTCTATTCACTCCCTGACTCCGCTCACCCTCTTCGCTCTCCACCCCACCCCTATGTTGTTGTCTTTTATTCGTTTTATCTAGTTATTTGTGTTCATCTTTCTAGCTGTTGGCCAGCAGCAGTTTAACCCGCTTTAGAGCTGCTTTTGCACTGGAAGTGCTTATGAAGAAGTCCTTCACGAAGATTGCAAGATTTCTGTGATACCTTTCGCTGGACGGAGGCGGGGCGTAGGTCAGTTCTGGCCACGTTTGAAAAGTTTAATTGAATGGCTTGAACCGGAGCAGCTGCACTTTTACTTTTTGACTGTCTGACTTTGACATGTGCCGACAGCACCCACGTATCGACGTGAAGGACCAGACGGAGCCAAACTTCCGACTCGATGCCCGCCTGTCCTGAACTTGGCTCGACGCACTGGGCCAATCAGGCCTCGGCTACAGCTTTGTGTGCCGAAGCTTTTGCGCTTCGCCATTGACACAGAGCTGAACAAAGCTCTGATGGAACGTCGACAGAGGCGACAGGCTGGACAGGTACAACAGCGGGTGGGCATAGGCATAGGCATAGGCGTATGGGAAGGGGTGGAGGCTCCCTCGCAGAGAGACGTTAATTGAAATGCTGCAGCTGCACACGTTGTCTGCCATTGGCAACGGCCCATATTTGTTCATCTTATTGAAGCGATGGCTGTGTGTGAAATTTTCCACAGATTTCATTTTCATTAGCCAGATAGGTCAGTCAGCTCCAGTTCGTTTTCCCTTTCATTTGCAGCTGCTGCCGATGGATTCTCGTTTACCTTGAGCTATGAAACAATTTCGTTTTCATTTTAACAATTCTTATGCAAGAGACCAAAAATGTTTTTGTAATTTGTACGAGATGTTAGGCACTTGCTATCTATTTCCTTTTGTGCCCAAAGTTGTGCACTCACAGTGGGCATTCGTTAGCGTGTACACGAGAAAGTGTTCAAGCATGAGCATTGAGTCTACAATGGAAAATGAGAACAGCTGAAAAGCGCTTGTGCCCTGTGGCCAATTGCAATAGGAATAGACATGTTTATTTCTCAGAGCATTGTTCTCAGCTCATAAGAATTTTAAATCTATTATTCAGAGCGAAGATTCCACTGCAGTTCAGCTGTATGCTGTGTCCTGTATGATGTATGCTGTATGCTGTATGCTGTATGCTGTATGCTGTATGCTGTATGCTGTATGCTGTATGCTGTATGCTGTATGCTGTATGCTGTATGCTGTATGCTGTATGCTGTCTGCTGTATGCTGTATGTTGTATGCTGTATTCAAGACGCATGCAAAAGCCAAATTGATTTAACACCTTGTGAACAGAGATCACTTCAGATCTGTTCCTGGTCATCTCCACGTCATGCTGCAACTGCACTTTGAGCATTTACAGTTTACTCAGTGAGCTCAGCTTGTTGACAGTCGCAAAGATCAGTGAGCAGTGGGAACACTTTGTGCACTTAGCACGTTCCCAGAATGCGAATTTCGCTTTTTACTTAGCAGATTCTTTTCAATTGATCTAAGGTCAGGCAAACAATCAAATTAGTTAATCATCTATCTATAACTTATTCGTTTACGTCTTTTCCTTGGCAATTTATTTTATTTTAATTTTTTTTTTCGAGAATCATTATAATTAGTTAGACTCTATGGCTATTTGTTTGATTAAAATAGCCCCACCCACCAATATAATTGCCAAGATTTTTNGTTATAATAATATTATAGTTCAACTATAATATACGAAAACTATTTTCATATACATATGTAGCTACATATTTAATGAGAATTATCAATGGGTTGAGTTTCGTCCAGCTAGAAGTATTACTTAGTTTCCTTTTGTTCATCTATGTTTAAGTCATATCTTAACGGGATTGTTCTATGCACAATTAGAACAAAATTTTATGTTACCAAGTGTTACTCCCCAATATAGTCTCTAAGACCTCCATCAATGTACGAGTCATGTTGTGCAGTGTAAACAAGTGCGACGCTGACTCCACAGAGATTATCGCTAGCGGAAATGACTTTCAGCTCGCGCCTGGATCTGACCTGGCCTCGCATAATTAACGCTGGGAATTAAGCAAACATTTTGACTTCGCTCTTCATGCTTGTATTATTTGTTTTAATGTAATGAGTATTTACAATTCGAGTGGTCAACAAAAAATTAATGCAAAAAACAAAGAGGTGAAAGGGCCGCTGCACGAGCTCCCAAACGAACACAGCACACATGTCACAGAGGCCCAGACACAAAGGTATCGCATGTACGCGGATTGTGGATCGCTGTTTACCAGCCGCTGGAGGCCCAGCCACCCTGAGGTGCCCAGCCACCGCCACCGCCACCGCCGCCGCCGCTGATGCCGCCTGCATCGGAGATGACCTTGACGATTTGCACAGTGCCGGAGCTGCCACCATGGCCGCCTCCATAGCCGCCGCCATAGCCGCCTCCATAGCCGCCGCCATGACCGCCTCCATAGCCACCGCCGTAGCCGCCGCCATAGCCGCCGCCTGCACCGCCGTCGGAGATGACCTTGACAATTTTGACTGTGCTGGCACCGCCACCATAGCCGCCTCCAAAGCCACCGCCATGACCGCCTCCATAGCCGCCGCCATGACCGCCTCCATAGCCACCGCCGTAGCCGCCGCCATAGCCGCCGCCAGCACCACCATCAGAGATGACCTTGATGATTTTCACGGCACCACCACCGCCGCCGCCTCCATGGCCGCCGCCGTAGCCACCGCCATAGCCGCCTCCATGGCCGCCGCCATAGCCGCCGCCGTAGCCACCGCCATGACCACCGCTATAGCCGCCGCCGGAGCTGAGGGCGCTGCCGCCGCCAAGGAAGCCCGCATGGGCCATGCTGCACACAGCGAGCAGACAAACGAATACCTTGGAAGAGAAACAGGCACAATAAATCAATTCCAATTACGACATTGTCACGGCACGGCACAAAACAAAAAAGAAAAAACAATTAAAAAAAAAAAAAAAAAATTAAAGTTTAGCTCGAAATTTCCGTAATCCCGACGACGGCGATATTTCGAGCTGAACCGATCCGGAGGCAGGACGCACCTTCATGTTGGACCTGTGTCTTGCTTGGAGCTAGGAGTTGGGATTGCAAATGCGACTTCGACGAGAGCTGAACTTCAACTGTGCCGCTGCAGTGCACTAGCGCTGGCTTTTATGGCCCAACCAGAGCTGGCCAAGCGCCCAACAGGGCCCAAAGCCACAAAACCAGCTCGACCCTGCCCCAAGCTGGTTAGCTTGCCGGACAGCCCGTTAGCCAAGTCTATGCTAATGCATGACACTCTAATTGGTTGTCCACGCGGTGCTCTGCTCGGATTATGCCATCATACAGCCATCATTCAGCCATCAAAGACCACAAAGCCATCTCTCCCGACGCCTTCGCTGGCGCGTTGAGCTCACAGCTCGCACAGCTCTGGGCTCTCTTTATTGGCTCGTTATGCAATTCATCAAAGCGCTTGCACAAAGAGCATTAGCCAAACAAAACAAAAACTAATGCGAATAAGTAGCGCTTTTTAACACTCCAAGCCCCAAGCCCCAAGCCCTAAACACCAAACACCAAACAGCGAAAACCAAACCCAACTCTGAATCAAATGCGGCGTTCATAAGATGCCCTAGCTATATGGTCATTGTAATACTTTAATAACGCTGCTGGAGCAACATTTGCCATTTTCCGCTTTGGTTATTAAAAACTTAGCCCAATGATAAACAGGCAAGCGTGCTCTTGTGGGAAATGTACGACTAGCGGATACCCTAAGCCCAACCAAGAATAATCGATTCGCTCTTGTATGCACACATAACAAATCACACATGTATACATACAGACATGCAGACATGCAGACAGACAC